CATCGTTTTTACATTTACTAAAATATTAAATAAATCTTCCCGAGTTAATATTGTTTCAAATGTACTGTTTATGCATTCCAGTACATTAGAATTTGCTATAATATTTACATATGTATATGCATTAGAGAAAGGTCGGATCAAACATTTTTTTTCAGATTTTCAAAACCTACCTACGCAGAAAATATGTTTTCTGGTGTATATATCAAGGGGAAAATAAAATAAACGAATTTTTATGATAAATACAGCCACAAGGGAATGAAGCTTATGTATTTGAGCTTTTTATGGTGAAAGTCAAATTTTTGTTAAAAAAAAGCGAGTAATTTAGTAATTTTTTTTTTAATTTAGGACCTACTTAACAGTTAGAAATAAAAAACACCAATTACATTTAACAGCTTCTTTTGTATTAAATTTTTTTTAAAAAAAATCCCTACTCGAAATAACAGTGCACGCTAAAGCGGAAGACGGAAAACAGCTTGAATCGGAGTGATTGGACGGTGCGGGAGAAAGAGCTGGGATTATGAAATGTGTTGCAATCCACATTGTACTACTCACTATGCAAAACTCACTAAACAATAATCATCGTTTTTGATTGTTTATATCAGCTATACTCAACCGGTTGTCCGGTCACGGTCCATTTATCTCAGAAATTCATTTATTTATGAAAATTTAGTGGGAAATTCTTTGTTAAGAATTCAAATATATCAATTTTGCTTTTTGCTGTCGAAATCAAATTGATGTATATTTTTTCTTATTAGTGATAATAAACAACAGTGGAGTAGCGACCATTTTATGAGTGGAACTAATTTTTAACTATCTTCCATATCTTGTAAGCGAAAAATATTCGAAGAAGTGTTATTTCAAGACGTTTTGGGAAGTTAACTATTTTGTTGTGAAAAACAAGCATAGATCAGTAATTGTTTGCTTTGTCACGAAAGCGTTGTATTAAAAAAAATACCAATAAACAGGAAACGTTCAATACTTTTCCTCGAAGATCTCTTTCAAGGGGTGGTAAATAGACTCTTGAATTATCTTTACAACAGCAAAAGTCTTTTGTCTGTGGCAATGTCACAACGGTAACAAAGTCACCCTATGAAATTTGTTATATTACTGGTAATCATATGAAACAGTTTACTGATGCAGAAATTGTGAAGGAGGAATTCTTAATGCTTCTAATTTAAAAAAAAAAATCAGTGACCAAAATAAAAAAATATAAAAAGTAATAATTCAAATAGAAAAATAAGAGTTTTAATATTTTGATTAATTTTGAATATTTTAAATTTCTTATGTTAACTTGGTCTTAAAGCATTTCTCCCCCTCCATTAATCCTCATGTTGCAGCCCGCGTGAAATAGCCATTTTGAGTATGCGGCCAGACAGAAAAAAAGGTTGAGTGCCCCTGGTTTATATTGTAGAAAAATAATTTCATTTTGAATCTAAGATCACCAAAAGTAAGTCTTTTTCCATTTTATTCGAAAATTCAACCCCTTTATGGCAATATTTAATACTTGAAAATTGTTTTTCCAATTCCTACTATTACTTCACACTCTCCCTATATATACACTCAGGAACATTGAAAATAGCGACCCAAGAAGGAAGCTAAGTACAATCGCGAAACTTTGCAAATAAGTACAGCGTAATGTGATATGCAAATGATCCAAGTATTGTGCCAATATGCATGCTCATACACGCCGAGGTGGCGCTACAATCAGGAAGGGGGTGCTATATAAGCCAGCGCAAATTCGAAGATTCATAACCGAAAATTCTAGACCTAATAATGATTTTGATGACGTCGATGAGTTAATTAATAATACGGTTAACTCCTTCCTCTCCCTTCCTACTTCCACTACTACTGAAACTGCCTATCCCTCTGAGATTATTAGCTATATTAAGAAATCTAACTCTAAAAAAGCGCCAGGTAAAGATGGCATTAGTAATCGAATGACTAAAAATTTCTCCCTCAAAGCTATTCTCATTCTAACAATTCTAATTAATAAGATTTTAACTCTCAATTACTTTCCTAAAGCTTGAAAGAAGCCATTATTTTTCCTATCCTTAAGCCAGGTAAAAACAAAAATATTCCTTCTAGTTATCGACCAATTTCCTTACTTTCCACCTTAAGTAAAATCACAGAATCTATTATCCTGACTAGTCTCAAAGAATTTCTCTATACTAACAATATTATCAACCCTAATCAGTATGGTTTTACAAATAAACTCTCTACCCTACACCCACTTTTGAATCTAACGGAAGCAATCTCAGAGGGCTTTCAAAGTAAAAAAGAGCACCGGCGCAGTATTTCTGGATATCCAGAAAGCCTTCGACCGGGTGTGGCTTACTGGTCTTACTTATAAACTTATAAATTAAAAAATTCCTCCTCCGCTCGTTTTTCTACTTCACTCGTACAACTCTAATCGCTCTTATCAGGTTCGTGTCAAGGATACTTTGTCTACAACTAAATTTATTAACTGTGGAATTTGCTTGGACCCCTGCTGTTTAATCTTTACATTAACGACATACCAGAATATTCTCTCACTAAACTAAACATGTATGCAGACGATACAGCTGTGCACACTACATTTAAGAGAATCACATCAGTCACTTTTGCTCTAAACAAACACCTTAAATTGCTAGAAAATTACTACGACCGGTGGAAAATCAGCATTAATGTTGAAAAATGTATTATTCACTAAAAACGTAAAATACCACCTAAAATGTACAACACTACAATCCCATGGCTCAAAGTACTAAATACCTTGGTATTACATTTGATAAAAATCTCACTTGGAAAACACACATTCAAAACACGCGTCAAAAATTCCGGAAATTAATGTTTAAACTAATTGGCCGGAATTCGGATTTATCTAGAAATAATAAAGTGCTTTTATTCACAGCCCGCATATTATCGTATTGGGGATACGCCGCTAAAACTAATATCAATATCTTAGATACTTTTACAAAATTCAACAATCCGAATGATCGTTAAAGCCTCAAGGTACATGAGAAACGACGACATTCGAAAGCTATTAAAATCAAAAGTTTTAAATTCTATATCCAGAAAATAGCTAAAAAGTTCTTTAACTCTCTGCAATTCACTAATAATAGCAATATGATTAACTTAAATACCTATACTCATGATTCTACCAAAAGACCGAGAAGAATACTTCTCGACTCCTACAATCCGCCATAATTTTAATAGCCAGTGCATTTTTGCACAACTAATGCTAAATTTTTAATTCTATATTTATCTTTATTTTTCATCTTAAATTTTGTCGTATCCCCACCATCCGGGCTTGCCCCTCCTTTTAGTCTTAATTTTCAGACTTGAGCAGCCTATGAGAGTCGATTTCATCTCCCGCCATGCACCAATAAGAGAGCTTCCTTTCAGCTCTCCGCCACGATCACAGAAATCCGCACGACCCAGGAAATTACTCCAACGATTGGCTCGACCAATCAGCTCTACATGCTAGCAGGATACACCCACAGTCGTTCCTAATATATTATTCGGATATGGGATGTTGCTCGCGAGCCATATGCCCAGATAATGTCACCGTAGTCACCGTAGAAGATTCATAAACGTGACGGTTACCCGCCAATTGTAGGAAGACTTTGGTAAGCGAAACATGCCAGGTAAACGTGCTAGAAGACATTTCTCTCAGTTAAGCGAGTTTGAGAGAGGCCTGATCATCGGGATGAAAACTGCAGGCTAGTCGACGCGCCGTGTTGCTGCCCAGGTGGATCGTTCGGAGTGCGCCGTTAGAAATTGTTGGGAGCAGTGGACACGAGAAGGTACCCACGTGCGGAAAACCGGGTCTGGAGCGACCAGGAAGACCACGAGGAGAGAGGATCGAAGGATCGTGCGGCAAGCACTTGTGGACCCCACAGTGATTCGTTCAATGATACGAGCAGACGTAGGCATAGCAATTGTTCCACAAACAATTTCCAGACACCTTGCAGAAGCAAATCTTAAATCCAAGCGCCCTTTCCGTGCACTCCCTTTAACACCGGAACATCGGCAACAGCGTCTACAGTGGTGCCAAGCCAGATCAATGTGGAATGTCACAGATTGGCAAAAGGTTGTGTTTAGTGATGAATCCCGGTTCGTTTTGGGGACAGGTGATAACCGTGTACGGGTGTGGAGGCGCCCTGGTGAGCGGTACAATTCCCTTCACACTGTTCTACGTCACACTGCCCGCACAGCTGGTGTAATGGTCTGGAGGGCCATAGCCTATGATAGCCAGTCCATTTTAATTGTGATGCGTGGAACCTTAACGGGCCAACGTTAAGTTGATGATATTCTTCGACCCCATGTAGGACCTTTCCTAAATGGTCTCCCAGGGGCCATTTTCCAGCAAGATAATGCTCGTCCGCATACAGCAAGAGTTGCTCAAGACTTCCTACGTCATTTTCAGACTCTTCCATGGCCGGCCCGCTCTCCTGATTTGTCCCCTGTAGAGAACGTGTGGGATCAGCTAAAACGGCAGATGCCATCGTGTCACTCTGTAGATGATTTAGAGTTGGCTGTTCAATATTTGTGGGCCCATCTGCCTCAGGACAACATAAGGTGTCTAATCAACTCAATGCCGGACCGTGTGGCGGCATGTATTGCAGCTGGAGGTGGTCCAACGCGCTATTGAAGTTGCCCAGTATTTATGTCGTTGCACACCCTGTATTCGTTTAATTGTCTTGTTTTTTAGATCAAGTGAATCTCTCGTCTGTGTCATTATGTGTATTAAATTTCATTTCAATCCGATGCTTTCTTCTTGGGTCGCTATTTTCAATGTTCCTGGGTGTATCTTGTTCACAAAATTTCAATCGTTAATAAAATACTTTTTATTCATCCACTCAAATTCAAATACATCTTTTTAAATTTGTAGTGGATAACACTAGATGTTAATACAGTTTTTTCAAATATTAATTCATTAATTCTATTTAATGAATGAATAATTAGTAACAAAAAATAATAGTCCAACATCCTATATAAAAAGGAAAATCGCTCGTTGTGTCCCTGTAGCGCAATGGATAGCGTGTTGGACTTCTACTCCAAAGATCGTGGGTGCAAATCTCACCTGGGATGGCATAATTTCTGCGAATGTGACTTCTTTTTACTATACTATTTTATTGGAATACGAGTAATTAAATTTAATGAATGAATAAATAGTAAGAAGCAAAAATATAATTGTCCGACACCCTATATACAAAGGAAAATGGAAAATCGATTTTTATTTTGCCACTTAATATTCTGATTCTGTCATTTGTATATGAATATTTATATTAATTGTAATTATGTAATAAAAAGTAACTAATATATAAATTTTTTCTTTGTTGACCTAAGAAGGAATTGGCTTGAAGATTTTTTTTATATTACTTGTTTAAAGTAAGTTTTCTTCTAATCTCTATACCAGTGGTTGGCAACCTGTGGCACGTGGTACAATTCTCAGTGGCACTCTGTACTGCTCTACAAATTTGTGGATATTTGAGTGAAAGGAAGCTGATAAATTTGAAATGGACTTTAATTGACAAACACCTTCAGAATTATGGACATTTACGGAATTACGAAAAAGTCTGAAAATTAACTCCTAAGATAAATTTACAGTAATTTGTAAATTATTGAATGTCATGGCCGGAGAGATTTAATTGCTCGAACAGAGAAAATTGCATGTACTCTGCTTTCCGCTTTTAGTTCTACATATGTAAAAGTGAAAAATATTTCGAGTACGTAAAGAAATTGTTTATCAACTGAATGTTTAGAATCGTGTCCAAGAGGAAGTCACAAATTATGCACCTGATTTTATGGTATTAAAATATAGCAATGCAAGCTCTAGATTCGCATTAAAATTAGCATTTAACTTTTTATTTAACAATAGTGGAGGGGAATACTTATATTTTATGTTGTCTCTTTCTTATTTTAATATATAAATATGTTTATAAAAATACTTAATATATGTACAATTTTATTTATTTTTTATTTTTGTTGAAAAAATAAATATATTTTATGCTGTTTATTTTTAAGTTAAGAAATATCTTTAAATGATGCAAAATTAATATATAATAAAACTGTAAATTTACACATTAATGACCTGTGTTCTCTAATTCTGCTTGCATTATCGCGGGAGACGAAATGTTTGAAACATGTCCTACTGTATGGCACGCTGAATCATATTGGTAGATTGGTTTTTGGCCCGCCAGAGATAAAAGGTTTCTGACCCTGCTCTATACCATGGAAACACTTTTCCTGCATAGATAGGTTAAGGTTAATAATAATTTTTTCTCTCCATATAATCGCGATCCCCCTGGATGCACATATGTATAGGTCCACGCATGCACACACTCACTTATGCTTTAAAATTTTCTATAATCAAACTAGTATGTGCAAGAACATTTATTTTTTATCCCAAGAGTAATATTTTCGTAAATTCTTAATAACAGTAAGTAAATTTTAAAAATATTTTTGTATAATAAAGATGATTTATATTTATGTCTTTATATATAAAAATCTTCTGTGCATGTGTTTGTCACTAAACTCCCCTCCTAAACGGCAGGACCGATTTCGATGAATTTTTTTGTGTGGGTTCAAGTAAATTCGAGAATGGTTTAGATTCACAATTCGGTCCGATATCGCAATTAGTTAAGAAGATATTAGTTAAAAACATTCAAAAAATACAACTCAACATTCAACTGCATTGTTGTAACAACGCTATTGTTATAAAATAAAATTTCCTTTCAAATGAATGCTTTAACACGTGAGAAAAAACCTTTTCAAATTTTGACATAAATCGACAAAAGGGTCGCTAAGTCGCCAACGTGGCTGTATTTGTAATTTTCTAAATAATTAATTTTGATCAAAATTAATTTTTATTATAATTATGAATAAAAATTATTGTATTGTCATCCAAAATAATAATGTACATTACATTTCAGCTCAGTTGAGCGCTTTAAAATGTATTTTATTAACGATTGAAAATTCCACCAAGATAAATAAATAAATAAATAAATAAACAAATAAAATATGTATAGAGATCGTGAGCTAATAGTAGGAATTGAAAAAGACGTAAGTTGGCGTCGAAAATTGTTTTTTCAGCCAAACTGGCCAAACCCGGTATTTATTCTTACGAAAATACAGACGATTCACGCTTTTTAGCGTTTTTAATTAATATCTTTTCAAATAAACTTTATATATGTAATTCTTCTGTGCATGTGTATGTAACTGAACTCCTCCTAAACGGCTGGACCGATTTTGATGAAAGTTTTTGTCTGTTCCAGTGGATTCGAGAATGGTTTAGATTTATAATTCGGTTTAGAAATGTTTATTTAGTTAATTCTTTATTTATAAATTGTTGTGATCTTGGAATGTTTTACATTGAATCCGGCAGACTGCGCTACGATCGCAGTATCAAATATTCAAAAATATTTTATTTTGAATTTAAGATGTCTGTCGGGTCCTCTAGTATATATATATATATATATATTTATAAAAATATATTTCATAAAAATTCCATGATATTTTAATGTGTTACTTGTTTTTTTATATTATATAGGTTTACTTTTTAATATAATAAAAATGATGAGATGATAAATTGATACGTGTTATCATCCCAAATTTCTTTTTGTTCACTTGATGTTCAAAATCAATGCTAACATTTCTGCGAGTCTTCATTTTAAATTACTTTCAATGTTAGGTTTTATATAATTTTATTTTGTCATCTGAATAATTTTTACACATGTGTTTGACTCAATCTGTCACATGAAGAAATTAAAGACTGTGACCCGCAAACAAATCAACGGATGAGAGTTCTCAAAAATAGAAATTGATAAGTATACAGGTGGAATAATTTTTTCTTTATTCCTTTCTTTTATATTACCTTAAATGATTTTTATATAATGCTGTTATAAAGTTCTTGTGCCATAACATTATTAATTTATAGGAGTACCGTTACTTCGATGCACACTTTTCGCGTGAAGGTGCGGCAGGGAAGAGAGTTCTATTTACATAAAATTAAAAGCATCCTGTTTTCTCTCCATACTAAAGTGTGGAAGTAGTTCTTTGACATGCGCTCTGGAACAATCTAGTTTGGGACAGCGGCTGTTAGTTGAACACTTTTGGCAGAATTTTGACTGTTTGTCAACCTATATTTTCTCCTTATACTTTTTATGTTGTATTTCTGAGACTGAAAAGTTCGTTTAGTGTCAACCACATTTAAATGGTAACGTAATTTTTCTGTTCATAACTTTAGAAATATTGAAAAATTAATGCACCGATCACTTCTGTATTTTTTTAATTGTAATAACAATTTGCGAAAAGCAAATAAACCTTAATCAAGAAGTAGGCGGTCGCGCGGTAGTCGAAGCCGCGGTGGCCAGCATTGTCCAGTCGTGATTTCAAGTGCTGATGCCATTGAAGACTCGCTGCGATTGAAGTACGTTAAACCTGTCAAGTCTCACTTGCACAGTCACCTGCATGGCGCTCAAAGCTAAGTCCAACGACAGACGTAAAAACCTAGCCCAGGGGTGGCGAACCCTTTTGGATCAAAGTGCCATTTTTTCCAAAGAAATGTTTAATGAGGTACAAACGTGCCGTCAAAGAATTTTGACTTGGGATTATTGGAACATAATAAAATTAAACGGTAACAATTCAAAACTCTTTATTTACAACGAAAAATTACATTTTGCACTGTATAGTAGTAACTGTTTTATTTATACGTGTAGTTTAAATTCAAGCAACATTACAGTGGGACTTTTGTTGTAGCAGTTTATAAATGACAAATAACTTATATTAAGATTATAAGATGTTACTTTTAGAAGAATGCATGCTAAATTGGAGTCATCTGCCAAACGATTTCTAAGAGTCTTTAATGCTTTTCATCTCTGGAAATAATAATTCGCAGGCATAAGCAGTAGAAAATATTGTTGAAATAGCATGATCCAGATTCTTCAAAAAGTTAAATGTGTCTGGAATCTATTTTTATGTTTCTAAAATTTCATTATTAGCATTTTTACCTATATTGCTTGTGAATCTTTCTATTTCAATCAATTCCAACTTTGTCCTTTTTTCGATAAATTTTTGAATCCATATTAAACTAGACTGGAAATCAATCTCTTAGTTGCATTTCAAATTTTGTCAATTTTCAACCAATCGAATTGGGACAAGTGCAGTTTAATAAATAAATTCACATCAGGGTACATAATAAGCTTGAACGTTTAGATAAAATCTCAACGAAAATTGCAAAGAATCACTCACGTTTGTTCGTAATACTTCTTTATTTTGAAGTAAAACGACAACCGTTTTGATCGGTCGCGTGCCGTGCCACTGGTTCGCCATCCCTGACCTAGCCCGTAGCCACGATGAATTTCGTGGACCTTAATCTATGTTACTGTCGATCTGGTGGCATAAGTAACAACAGTCTCAAGCGAGTGATTGAGTGAATATTAACGTCGCACTGTTCAGCTACACGAGGACTTTTGGTGATGGACCTCGTCATTTTGAACCATGGTCAAGTGATGAGGATGACACATGAGCTGGCATCCCACCCCCTCTCCTAACTATCACACCAACGGGAGGACGTTTCAGCTCTCGATAGATTTTACGTGCATCGCTCCCCTACACGGCGGGTCTTTAGAGGTACTGGGTTCGAACTCTTGAAATCCCAGCCACAATCCGATACCTTGAATACTAAGCTACCACGGTCCCTTGTCAAATCTCAAAGTGCTATCGTTAGTGTGATGGAGAAATTTGGAGAGTATGGTCGCCAATCCAAGTGTCGCCCTCGTCATTTGAACGAAATTCAATATTAGGAGATCCATCGCCAATGATTTTCGTGCAGATTGCGACTTTTACAAATAATCGATTGAAATAAAGTAGCAAGTAAAGACGAATAGTAGTATTTATCATGCTTGAAAAAAAACCCCAATTTTTTCCTTTCAATTTATCTTCAAATATAAGACAAAATTGTTTTGAAATGAAAACAATTACTCCATTGGTTGACGTAAAAAATAATCATGTTTAGTTGAAAAATAAGGATTTACCATTAAACCGTTACTGTTCCATTACACATAAACCTTTTGTGTGTTTTCTAAAAT